TCAAAGATGTCGCCACTATTATCGAAATTGGAATTTAAAAAGTCTGTACTATCGACCTTGATTGAGTTGGGTAATCGGTTTAGCATCCCCTTAAGGTGATTATTAATGAGATAAACCAAAATATTAGATGTAGTATGAAAGTATGTCCATTATCTGGATGTAATTAAGGCTACCCTTTTCATTATTATTCAGTCATGTAATTATAATCGTTTGTATCCTACAATTCTATTAGAAAAACATCGAATAATATTTATACACGCTTAACAGTTTGGCGCGTATACAAAGATCAATTTTCAAAATGTATCCCATAATAAAGCATACATCAAAAGCGACAACGAATTAAAAAGTAAACGAAAACAGTAAACTTTGTGGGATAAGAAGAGGGAAAGTAATTATAAGAGTGAAGCTAGCAGCCAGACTTAGCAGGCAGACTTAGCAGCCAGACTTAGCAGCCAGAACGCTGCAGCCAGGACCGAATAGAGTACTGGGATCCAGAAATTAAAAATTAATAAAACGCATTAAAAAACTATTAAAAGTCAGTAACACATTTCAGGTGGTACAAAAATAGTTAAAATATGTAAAATTTAAAATAATCTGTCAGGGGACGACCATTATTGATAAAAAAATTAATTAACATTCATATATTTACTATTCAGCAGCCAGATCGAACGCAAACCCGTAACGACTTGAAAAAAATCACAAATACTCTACGAGACGAGTAGAAAAGAATGACATCGCGATCTAACCGGTTAAGGACCCCATTGTTTATAAAAAAAATTAAATAACATTTATTAACAACTTAGCAGCCAGACCAAACGCAAACTCGTAGCGACTTGAAAAAAATCACACATACTCTACGAGACGAGTAGAAAAGGATGACATCGCGATCTAACCGGTTAAGAACTCCATTGTTTAAAAAAAAAATAAATAACATTTATTCTCGTAGAGTATGTGCGATATTTTTCAAGTCGCTACGAGTTTGCGTTTGGTCTGACTGCTAAGTTGTTAATAAATGTTATTTAATTTTTTTTATAAACAATGGGGTCCTTAACCGGTTAGATCGCGATGTCATTCTTTTCTACTCGTCTCGTAGAGTATTTGTGATTTTTTTCAAGTCGTTACGGGTTTGCGTTCGATCTGGCTGCTGAATAGTAAATATATGAATGTTAATTAATTTTTTTATCAATAATGGTCGTCCCCTGACAGATTATTTTAAATTTTACATATTTTAACTATTTTTGTACCACCTGAAATGTGTTACTGACTTTTAATAGTTTTTTTAATGCGTTTTATTAATTTTTTATTTCTGGGCCCCAATACCCTATTCGGCCCTGGCTGCAGCGTTCTGGCTGCTAAGTCTGGCTGCCAGCTTCACTCTCATAAAGTAATTACTACCTAACGCCTATATGTCCTGCTTTAATCTCTTCAAGGACAACACGATGTGTATAAGTCAGTTTTATTTTAAAATTATTTAAAAATGTATATACATATATGCTTCCTTGAAACTAAAATAAATAAAACAATCACAGTATTATCTCTAATATGATTCCTCTAATATTCATATATAACACATAAAAGTTATTATAATTTATTCACTTCTATTATTAAATATTATTATGAGATATCATGATTAAAATGCATTTTAATAAAGGATTATAGATGTAACAAACAAATAAAATTAATCTTTCTCTTCGATTTATATTACGGAAAGGACAATTTTGCGGAAATATATCTAAAGATTTTTAGCTAGATATAACAAATCTGAAAATAATTTTGTTAGACCCGTGTTATAATAAAATAAGGTGAAACGTTCCCGCGAATGTGCAGTAGGAGTGTAAATTTGGACTAAATTTGATTGACTGTTCCAGCTACATACGAGGGTCACTATTTATATTTTGAGCCTAATAATAAAAATAATAATAAAAAAACAATAATTTGCCATTTATTGTTTTTCAAAATATTCTCCTTTATGATCTATACACTTTTGCATGCGTTCGAACCACTTGTCAAAGCATTTTTTCCATTCCGCTTGAGACACCTCCAAAATATGGTCTTTGAACGCATCAACGGCTTCTTCTGCCAACGAAAATCGTTGTCCACGCAATTTATTCTTGACGTTCGGGAACAAAAAGAAGTCATTTGGTGCCAAATCAGGACTGTACGGCGGATGACCCATTAATTCGATTTTTTGAGAGCTCAAATAGTCGGTGTTAGACGAGATGTGTGACAGCTGGCATCGTCTTGATGAAGAATGATCCGGCGGCGCTTGTTTGTTTTCCTTATTTCACTGAAGACTTCCGGCAAACAAACGGTTGTGTACCATTCTGAATTGACCGTTCTACGTTTCTCTAAAGGCACTGTTGCCACATGACCAGTTTTTCCGAAAAAACAGGCGACCATTTGTTTCGAAGTGCTTCGAGCGCGAACAACTTTTGTTGGATTTGATTCATCTTGAAACACCCATACAGTCGACTGCTGTTTAGTTTCCGGCTCATACGTATAGATCCATGATTCGTCTCCTGTTACAATCTTATACACATCTTTTGAAGCACCGCCATTGTATTTCTTAAGCATTTGTTTGCACCAATCGACACGAGCATCTTTTTGAGATTTTGTCAGATTATGTGGGATCCAACGAGAACAAACCTTTTTCACGGCTAAATGATTATGCAATATTTCATATATGCTGGTGGAACTAATGCCCAAGGTTGTCTCAATCTCACAGTATGTCACATGACGATCTTGCATTATTTAGTTTTTGCACAGCATCAATGTCTTCTGGCACAACAACTGATTTTGGACGACCTTCACGACTTTCGTCGGTGAGCGAACGGCGACCACGATTAAATTCGTTATACCAGCGTTTCACAGTGGCAAAGGATGGGGCTTTATCGCCAAAAGTGGAAGTAAGTTGATCGATGCACTCCTGTCTTGATAATCCACGTCGAAAGTCGTAATAAATCATTGCACGAAAATTTTCACGAGTTAATTCCATTTTTTCGCTGAGACACAATTTTCAAGTGACTGTAAACAATACAAATCGCGCTCAAATAACAAAACGTTCTGAAGAAAGTTATGGTCAAAAATGTCAAACTTTCTAGTGGAAACGTCCGATGGCACCTGACAACACTCAGTGTTGCCAAGACTCAAAATATAAGTAGTGCCCCTCGTATAATGCCGCTGCTATTATACGCAGAAGAGTGTATTTGGATCCAAATTTGATTGGTTGTCTCGAATATGCTATTATCACCATTATGTGCCACGTTTCTCCTTATTTTCTTATTTTACCATAATTAGATCATCAAAATAATTATGTAGGATGCTTAAACTGATTGCTAAAATATTAAAACTTTTTGCAGCATTGCTTATTATGCTTCAGGATTCTACATAATAATAATTTTGATACTCCAACAAAATTATTTTCAGATCTGTATGCAGTTGAATTTTTAGATACTTCAGCAAAACCATTCTTTCCGATGTAGATAAAAAGTTTCTCCCTGGAGAGATTGACACACCAATTGCTTATGAATGTTATTTGCCGTTCTAATTCATATATATATATATATATATATATATATATATATACGTATTTATCAAATAAAGATAATAAGCAGGAACATAGAAGGTATTAAATGTTGATATAAAATGGGTGGAGATAGAAAAATAAACGAAGAGGATCAGGATACTTATATATCCAATATTATTTGCGTAATTTACAAAACAACCTCGTTGACCTTGTTGGTCCGATGAATCATTTAACTTTCACTTTCGTTCCTTTTCGTCCGTATCGTCTTACTGTTGTTCAACCTCGGGAAAACGAAAGAACATTATTCAAATTTTGTTCTGTTTTATATCCGTTTCTATCAACGTAGAGTAACTTTAATATCAATTTAACTTACTCTTCATTTTTTATTATATTTATATTCTAATTCTTAGTGCTAGAAAGAGAT